ATTTTTTTTTGATAACCGTGGATGTCCGGGCCAGCTTGCGCGCACCTCAACTAATCCCACGGGACCCTGAAGTTTACGGCCGAGTACTCACCTCAGTGGCCCTGAGGGGACTCGAACTAGTGACCATTGGGGAGCAACCCCAAGGCCTGACCAATTGAGCAACCCCTAAGGGTTAATACTGCATGAGAAAACAATACGTGAATTTGGATGTTTTTATTGATGCTCTAGCTTGTGCTTTTGACCTACTTATTCATTATCATTATTTAGTGCTTGGTATAAATTTGTTAACCAGAGCCCAATGGTGCCCCGGCCGCCAAACATGATACCCTAACAAACAAATTGTTGAACTGCATTGTACCAGTCTCTGTACTCTGTTCTCGAGTCCTTGAGTTAGAGTTATTGCTTTCTTGAACTCCCAGTTCTCTCTCTTCTTTCTTCTTCTGAAGTAAGCTAACGTCCATGTTATGCTCTGCTTGATAGATGCCAGTGTACCTTGTCTGCTAGCTTGTTTATGATCCTAATAGTTTTTCTTGTTTCTTTAATTCATTTCAGGAATAGCGTGGAGCGTGTCAATGTGCAACGAATATAAAAAATGCACCGTGGATTGAGGTTGATAATGCTAGATCATCAGTCCCTTTTTTAGCAGAAATTCGCATGTGGTATTTGTCTGTAATGTAGACATCATTTTCCAGTGTAACATTAACAATTTGATTTATACCAAGTTTTGTTCACTGAAATTGGTGGATGGCTATAGGGGGTTTAAAACTATTGCTTCTTAGAACTTGAGTTGTTTGGAGAAGAAAATATTCGAGCAAAATTATTTGTATTTACTTGTAGGTGGCTATCAACCCGAATCTGTTAGTAAGGACCATCTTTTTACACAACCCTAATTCTATAGGATCTAATCTATGGAGCAATTTTTTAGTGCATCTTGTGCTCCGTCTTATATTTGATAGAAAGGGATCATAGTATTCTCCAAATTGGAAGGAATCACATTACATTTCTGAGCAGAAGCAGTCTGTATGTAGTCTTTGATTGATTCCGTGTTAATCATTACTCAATTGATTATTAGAGAGGTTAGTTCATCTTCAAAATTATACGGTTTTTCTATGCCTCGGCTATCAACCATTTCACAGTCTTTTCCTTTATATTTTTCCGAATTTTACTAGCTCGTTAAAATGGCCATTTAAATTATCTTTTTGAAGAAAATCTATTTTGAAAATTATCCTCCAAAATAATGTACTGAATTATAATTGACAATTAGAAAAAAATGATTTTTTATTTTTAATTTTTATTTTTTGCGGTTATTAAATAATTCAAAGGTAAATAAGGATTTTGCTATTTGTATATTAAAATAATATATAAGCAGTTAACGAAAATGATGTGGAGGAAAAAGATTGTATGAATTAGTTGATTGTATTTTAAATTGTCAAATTGTAGAATATCATGTGGTATTATTTAATTTTTTATGTAAATCTTGAACATGTAACAGAAGAATATTTAAATTTTATTTGGTTGACAAGAATGTCTAAATTTAAGTCGTAATACTTGCAAGAAAAATAAATTAATTTCATAATGTTAACACTTACCACTTAATAATAAGACCAAACCGAAAATAAAGTCACATGGCTAATACCTAATAGTGTTGTTTTACTTTCGTATTTTTGTTTTTTATCAATCCCTTCTATTTATAATGACTGCAAAAGAAATGTTTGGCCGTAAATAATGGCGAATGCTAGAAGAAAAACTTTAACTACACCTACGTTTCTTGAAGCCGATTGTTTGCATTTAGTCCTTACATGTTCCATAATTCCCATCTCTTCATTTTTGTGGACCTGTTTACTTCTTTTCTCTAGCAGTTATTAGTCAAAAATCACATTAAAGAAACAAGATAAACACGCCCATTTGGGAAAGATAAAATCTTTTTCTTGTAATAATTTGTAAATTCAAATGGCTGTATCTATGGCTTCTGCTGGGAGTAATCTTGGGCTCTACACAAATCGAAAAGCATTGGAGAAGAAGCCCAGTTCGAGAACAGCTCCTTTCAGATGGTTTATGGGGTTGGATTCAGTTCGAAAATCATGCATTATTCCCAAAAGAAGGTATTATAATTTTCACACACACACACACATAGACAAACTTGGACCATTTAGTGGGAGTTAATTAATTATTTATTGTTTAATCTGATTTTTTGTATTAGAAGATTGATCAGTTTATAATTTAAACGTCATTAGGGAATCAGAGAGTTTAATTTTTTTGTTGGTTTTAGGGTTTAA